GACCCTGAGGCCTGGAGCCCTGTGCCCTAAGCCCTAGCGCTGCCCGAAGCCCTGTCACATTCAGGGAGCGGCGCCAAAGATCACACCAGCCACTCACCACAGGGCCAGCCCCACCCTGTCTCCCATCTGTAGTGCGCATCAGTGGCTTTAGGGTTGCCACTTCATAGATCACACAGCCATAGGACCACAAATCTACTTCATTTTGGAGAACATCACGAAACTGTGCCACTGTCCAGCTGGGGAGGACACTGAACAGTTCAGGTGGGCGGTACATCTCTGTCACATAAGTGGCAAAGCGAGGCTCAAACTTGTCCTTGCCAAGTGCCCTGGGCCCTGGCTCACACATCCCTAAGTCACAAAGTTTGAGAAGCCTCTCCTGGGAAGACCAAAGGAGGTTGGCAGGCTTCACATCCAAATGTAAAAGGTGCACTCCATGAAGCAATGTCAAGGCTCTCTTCAATTGCCTGGCCACATCATCCACTGGAATCTTCTCTTCCTTCACCAAAACCTGCTGCAGGCTAGGTCCACCATATTGCAAGGCTATGTATGGCAATCTGCAGCTGGTGCCATCCTCCGCAAGCCATGGGAAGTGGTCAAGCTCTTCACGGGACAAAGTGGCCTGCAACTTCTGATAGCATGAAACTTCACGCACAGCAGATTCCTGGCCTGACCTGCCAAAGTAGACTTTTACAGCCCGCAGCACTCCAGAGCTTGAGCAGCACAAATAGACCTGACCGTATGAGCCAGTGCCCAAAAGGTTGGCAGAGCGAGACCCGTCCAAGATATACTGGCCAATCTGCACAGGGATCTCAACCTCACCAGGCAACGAGGCTTCTGCATCCTCTCCTTCAACTTTTGCTGCCTTGCGAAATCGAATCCCTTGCAACACAAGATCCTTGCGCTGCTCACAAAAAGCTGCTGCGCTTGCTTGCTGATATGGAAGCTTCCCACTCTCTGGCAAGGCCTTCCACTCTTGGCCTAACCTCTTCATTTCCTCCGCATACTCAGCCCTGGTTGCGCCAGAACCTTTTGCAAGCCTGGTATGTGCTTTCAAAAACAGTGCAAAAGGCTTGCAAGCAGGTGGCTTTGTCCTTTGCTTGAGGATTGCTTGTCGAACACTGCGGGGGGGGCCATGGCTTGCTGGGCTCCGTTGCAGCTGCTTCTGCTGCAAGCTGGCTTGAAACAGAAGAAGGATCAGTATCAATTAAAGTTAACAGGTATGCCCAACATGCCAAGTTGAAAGCTTCATTAAGCAGCTGCTGCTTGGACAAATCACACGCTAGTCTACGCTCGCCAACCCACTTTTAAATGCCACGCAGGTGTGCTGAAAATTGTATCAAAATAAGATGTGGCAAGGCCAATGCAACTCTATCAAAATTGCCCTGTGCCCTGGACCCTCAGGTGCCCACAGCAGCATCCTCTTCGCCGCTGGCAGGCTCCAAGGCATCCTCTTCTTCACCTTCATCTTGCCCACTGGCCAAGCCATCCAAAACCGCAGAGAAGTGCTTCGAGACCATCTTGGAGCCCTCCTCTGAGAAAAGGGTTGACCCCTCCAGAACCATCAGCCCACATGCTGCCCTGTCAGCAACAGCTTGCAGCCACACCATATGCTCTCTGTTGCGACCTTGGATTGAACAAAGATGGCCCAGGGTCTGTTCTGTAAGCCAAAGCAGCAAAAGGTCAAACGCAGAAACAGTCTAGCCAAAGCCACAGCAGCAGCAAAAGCAGCAACAACAACAACAACAACAACAACAGCGACAACAATGATAGACAACGATAGCCAGAGCCAAAGCAGGAGCAGCAGCAGCAGCAGCAGCAAACCAGCAACAACAAATCCCCAAAACCAGGGGAAAGTTGTCGGGTCAGTGGTCAGCATGACAGCCAATGCAAATACATTAAGCTAAGGCAACAAATCAACGATACCAATAATGCAATGGACAAAGACAGTTAGGATAGCAAGGCCGTAGCAGCACACCACTGAGGCAAAGGCATGTGCCATGGTACAAGATTCCTCGGCCCAAGCAAGCTTCCATGAGGGCACCAGAACCTGGTGTCATGTCGAACACGGCCCTGATCTTAAATTCCTCGAGAAGTGCTCCCCCAAAGGCCAATGGACTTGCTCTCAGCCCAGAACAAAGGGACACTGGAGCCATGCTTGTCAGCCCAGTCTTCAGGTGGAGACGGCGCAAAAGGAATGATTGCCTGCTTCTCCTTTGTGTCAATGAGTGGGAGTTGGCTGGTTGGTCGAAAGTCCACACCGCTGTACCGACCTGAGTATGTTGAGGATTCTCCACATGTGGCATAGTGCTCCTTCTTTGTTGCACGAATCCTGCTGCGCTGCACTGGACAAGCTACAGCCACAGTTTCAACGTTTTTCGCCTGGAGAGGGACCTTGCGAGTTCTCCCTGCACGGGGTGGGCAGCCTCCATTGTAGATGATTGTGGCCTCTTCTGCATGCAAGTGCTTGGCCAGAAGGCCATCCTCCTGGGTAGAAACCAAAATGTTCAAACAAACTGACAAGGAAACAACACGATGAATGGCTGATGCATCGTTGCATCTTACCAACATTACCCTAGCAGGGGGCTCATTTTAATGTTGCATCCAAAGTGCATGCATGCGACGTATCTCTCGCATTCGCCCGTCAAACAACATGACAAAGTCGCAACTGCCACTGCAGGAAGCTGCAAACTCCACCAGACCTGCCCAATCTTTGCCAGGCTTGCTTTGAATGCTCCAGGGTGCTTCACCTTCCTCTTGAAAAAGGTCTGCGCTGGCGCAAATAAGCCTGTGTGAGGCATTGAGTGTGCCACTGTGGCTATACACCTTGCCTGAGCTCCGAAAGGCTGCAGTCATCATCTCTCTGGACCAGCTCTTGGGCACTGACAGGTTGATGTACTTTTTGCGCTCCCCTTGCGCTGTTCGCCAATGCCCTTCACGATCCTCGGCAGATTCAGCATCTGCGCCCTGTGCCCTGAGCCCTTGAAGAAGCCCAAGTTCTGGCACTTGAGTGGTCAGAGAGACAGACTTCTGACTGCCTTCAAAATGCTCGACAATCACTTGCAAGTCTCTCACCAAATCACATTGATCCTTGGCTGACCCATCCATGGCCTTGTAGAAGCCATCGCTTGCAAGCTTGCGGCAGTCTTGGAGATAGACCCCACGCATCAGCTTAAGCAGAACATCAAGCAACATTCCAGTGGGCTTGTTGAAGGCCTTTTTGGTCTCAGCTAACAAATCACACTCAGTGGTGGGGCCACCGCCTGCTACTTCAAGGTCAAGATCTTCCTCATTTAGTGCCTGAGTGCTCTCTGCCTTGAAGAGTGCTTCCAAATACTTTGCCCAGCAAGTCACTGGGTCAAGCATCTCAGAACACACCGATGCAAACTTTGATTGCTCTGGCAGTGGTAGCTTTGCACCAAGCTTCTGCGCAAACTCAAAGACCTGCAAAGTCAGCCAACAACCCCTCAACCAATCCTGCAACGCAATTTCAACTTTTACTTAACGGTGCAATGCTATTTAAAAGTCCAAAAGCCAGGCCTCCAAAACCACAAGAAGTGCAGGCCAAAGGCCCAATGCTCCAGTCTTGCGGTCTTTGTCTAGCCAAGACTCCACTGCTTTGCTGGGGAGCTGGATCCGACATTGGAAGGTCAAGCGCAACATGCGAATCATGTAAGCCATGAGCTTTGGTGGGGACCAGCCTGCAACCTTGGCAGATTTGACATAGTGGCACAAGCGGCTTAGCTTTGAATACTGGTTGCTGAGAACCTCTCTGCCAAAGTCAAAGTCAAGCGCCTGCCAAGCACCCTCCAACTCCCCAGTATCCTCTTCCAAGATTGCTGCAAGACTCTGGGCTGCCTTGTGCATCGAGTCGTTGTACAGTTCCCCATTCCAGCGAATGTGGGCATCCTTGCCCTGTTGCAACTTGGTGATGTTCATTGACCGAAGCAAGTGCACAAAGGAGACAAATGTATCAGATGCACTTGGATGACCCAAAGCTTTGATACCTTCAGAACCTAAGTGGCGAGTTTGCAGCCACTTAGTCTCACCCGGAATGGTGTGGAGTTGGATGGTGACTGCACACCCAGCCTCCCACAGCTGCTCTGCCCAGGCGCAATCCTGAGAAATCCAATTCAACGATACAGCCAACTCAGCAAACTTGCACAGGCAAGGGCAACCCTAATGCAAATAATTGGATGGCCAAGCTTCATCATTGCGGATGGCCTTGAACATGGCAACATACCATGCCCAAACCAAGTAGTGCCCATGCACCAGAGGGAGCTGTTGGTCAAAGAAATTCTGGGCAGCTGCTTTGGCATCTGCCAGGCCACAGATCATCACTGTTGGCCAAAGAAGTCGCTGTCTGATTTGCTTCTTGGCACCACGGGTCACAGAATGTTTGTGTAGAGCCGATGGACTGAAAAGTGAAGCTTCCAGAGCCTCAAGCTCCCGCCAAGCAATATCAGGCACAAATGTTCGCACTGGTCCTGTGCTCTTGGCAGCAGCAGCTCCATCAAAGGCTCCTGTCTGCAGCCACAAAGCAAGCCCAGAAGCTTCATAGATGCCAGTGGTGTCCAAAGCAGTCTGGCACTGGTCTGGACACCATGGGGCCTGTCTTAGTTTAGGCAAAGCAATCGACAAAGTGAGTATAATTTAGACAAAGTGAGTGCAGACTTTGCTAAAATTCAGTAAGAGCTCACAAGCCTTGTACCCAGCCAGGTCTGTCTGCTTGGCCTCCCTGTTGATCACCAGGGGTGGCGTTCTGTGCAAAGCTTTGGCCTTGGGGACCTTGTGCGGCAACTCAGCACGCACCTCAGGGGAGCGCAAAGGGCAGGGAGCCTGTGAATGCAAATAGCCACGCAAACTTCCTGTGCTCAGCACGTAGGAAATGACATCTGCCACCACCTCTTTGGACTTGCCCTGGGAAGCTAGGTGTCACTCCCCCCCACCGCAAATGAAACATTAATAAGTTGCCTGAGGCTGGGGCATTGCTGTCTGGCAAAAGTGGCAGTTTTGAGGGCATGGCAAGGGAAGTGTAATCTGTTTGGTCTGGCTGTGCCTTGTGCCCTGTGCGCTGAGCCCTTTGAGCACGCAGCCCTGTTGGGAACACTCTTGCTGTCAACAAGCTGCATGCGCAATCAGCTGAAATAAGTGTGCTAAATAAGCTGACAGAGTCTTGCAAGCAAAACTTTTTTTGTCTTGAAACTCAGAATTTAGGGCATGGATGTCAAGCCCTGAGCCCTGTGCCCTCATGCCCTGATAGGGCAGGCAACCTGATAGGGCGTGTGAAAAAAAAGAAAATGGCCCTCCTAGTGCTACACAGACTCAGGCATCATCAAAATGAGGTTCCTGGCTGGAAGACTGGCCTGAAGCAAGGCATGAAGCACCAAAGCCAGGTTCAAGAATCAATAGCTCTGCATCCAATTGCTCCAGCTCCCGGCGCTTCTTGGCTAGCTCAGCTTCTGCGCTTGCAATGTCTTGCGTCAGCTTCCTCTTTCCAGCTTGTATGGACTTCTTGCGAACCATGGAGCTGATCTTCCATGAAGGCAGGGAATGTCCAGTGGTAGCCAAGACCATGTCAAAGTTGGACAGTTGGCATTGCACAGAGCCCTTCTCAAGCATGGCCTGGAAGTCCTGCATGTTCAAGACCCAAAAGGCCCCCAACGGAGTCTGCAAAGGTGCCTGTGAGTTCAGCAAGCCAGAAGCAAGAACCCTCATCAACTTCACAGGTGAGCCTCCATAGGCATAGAAGCCAACTGTCATTGCAGTGACATCAGAAGCAGAGAGCAGGAGCACTGGATGTTCTTTCGAGGACTCCAACAGCTTCTTTACTTTGCCTCCAGTGTCGTTTCGGGCCACCAAAGTCAGCAGCGGCTCTGTGACAGCATGTAGGTTGCCATCTTTCATGGCAAGGTCAGGCACAGCCACATAATAGGTAAAGCACAAGGGGGCCGTTTTAGGCAAGCAGCTCACTTGGGCACCAGGCTCCCAGCCCCCCGACAAGCTTTGGCATCATAGACATTGGCCTGAGCTGGAAACTTGCAAAGACTGACCTGGTGGAAATTGTGACCCAGCTCTGCGCTAAAATATATTGCCAGCAACTTGGTGGGATTGTGAGCCGGCACGTTGCAATCTTCTTGCCTAATACTTAGTTTGTCAAAGTGCCCACATGACACCCCTCACTAGCATCACGCCAAGCATGCATGGCACAAGGCCTGCGCGCTAGCTAGCAGGCACAAACCTTGGACCGCAAGCTGCCAAAGCAATGCCCTGGCACATGTTACGCATCCTAGCTTATTGGTCATCATCACTCATGCTCAATACTCCTTCAACAGTTTGCAGGAACAACATGCTTGGCAATGAACAGTAGTCTTGTTGTATGGTCGGCCTCGGTTTGAAACGCATATGCTTTGGCAACCAAGGCAC